CAATCAATCTCTCTCTCTCTCTCTCTCTCTCTCTCTCTCTCTCTCTCTCTCTCTCTCTCTCTCTCCTCCTAAACTAAACCCAGCTGTTTCTACAGTTTTAAATACTAGGTCTCAATGGTTTTTCAATGGATAAAAATTCAAAATCATGATATATTATCTCCATTAGAACTCTTGAGCATATAAAAGAATATTTTTAGAGATAGTGTTATTGACCAAAAAGGTTGAACTCTGATATTTCTTGAAAATGTCATCCAATAATTTGAATTTTTAGTTAAATGAAGCTTTACTCTGAAAATATGGATCAGCTTAGTTTGCCTTGTGCGTGATTGTAGGTGTCTAAGGAGATCTCTTGTTTTCTTACCAAATAATTCAGCTCAGCTTCTTGGAGCTGAAGAGGAGGCAGTTCCCTCTTTTCTTGGCTAAGAGAAATTTACAAATTTTTAGAGATGTCAACGTCTAACCACAACTGTGAGGTTGATTTTTCTGGTTCTAAAAGCTTTTAATTCTTGTACACTACTGAAGAGATATTGGGGGGAAAAAATCTCAAAATTTTGAGTTAAATATTCACATTTCCAAACATTCAAAAAGTAGGCTCTCGGGTAGGCGATACAGCAATATTTCAGTGAGGAATTTCTGAGGGAAAAAAATTTGAGAAAACAAGTTAAACTACATTCCAGCAACAGATGGACACCCATCCCTTACTCTAGTGACTTGCTCATTCTTTGTTGTTGTTGTTTTTTTTTTTCACACTCAGGTCAGATGGGGGAGAGAGAGAGAGAGAGAGAGAGAGAGAGAGAGAGAGAGAGAGAGAGAGAGAGAGAGAGAGAAATGCCTTTTCAAAATAAGCAGTGTGGCTGGCCTGATCTATCTTGGGACTCATTGTCAAGAATTCTTCCCCTTGTGCTGCCTCCTTTGGGCCAGCACCAAACAAACCTAAACAACTGGAGAGCAGATGTTTGACTAGAGAGAATTCCACAGCTGAACTCAAACGTATTCCCAAACAGAACAAGACACCGACCACAGGCTGTTACAAGATAAAAGCCACCTCCCCCCCCACCCCCTTTTCATCCCATATTTTCAAACAGTGATCTTTTGAGAGAACTGGGTGGCGGCTTCATTTATTTCTTTTAGGGCCCAGTCGGAAACTCCGTAGCTCGGTGGAGTCCAAGCGTCGTTGTCGTGCCAATGCTTAGGTTGGTGTTTGGAGTTTTCAGCAAAACAAACAGAACTCTTTTCTGCTGTGATTGTAAAGATGGTCCCCGCGCCACCTTTTAGAAGTGTTGGATGGCGGTTGTTGGGAAATCACTGCACGCGGCAGCATCATGAGGCATCTTGAGAAAGTAGCATCTCTCTGAATCGCGTGCATTGCTGGCTATCAGGCAAGACAGTCTCCATCTTCCATCTCGGCACCAATACAAAATCATAGTCAACACAAAGCCAGGATTAGTACACAGCATAGATTTTTCCCATTGTGAACATATGCTGGCTCCCGTACCGGTACCCTTTTCTTTCAAAAGCGTGAAAACTGTGGGTGCTTCCTGCTGCCTCTCTCATTGCTCCCAGTGTCTGAAAACCAGCTTGGTGGGGAAGGAGCAGACAACGATTAGGTGAGAGTCCAGGCTGTAGCTGGGACCTAGTGAGTCCTCTGGGTTTATCCCTGGTGAAAACAGCAGAGTTTTCAGTAGGCGGAAGAGGGAAAATGATAAAGGAAGAAAAAAAGGAAGGACCTTTAGTTCCTACATATATGTGCATAGACATGCACTGCACATGCATGCACACACATGCACACACACATACACACAAAAAATTAGTGTAAAAAAGATTTAGAGGGGAGGGAGAGAGGTAGGGGAAAAAGGAAAGGAAGGCAGGCGGGCTGGCCCACACTTGGTGAGATCACTTTGAGAAGGGAAGTCGGGGAAGGGATTTCCCTCTTTCGTGTGCTCTTTTAAATGATGTAAAATTGTTTAAGTAATGGGGGAATCGCTCAAGTACAACTTCTCCTCTCTTACCCAGGAGAAGAAAGGGAGGGGAATTGGAACCACTGGGAGTTCCTGAAAACTAAAAGAGAGCTCTATATATGGCCTGGTAACTTCTACTTGTACCACCCAGAGACTCTGAGACCTCGGTCCCATTCCTGAAACACAAGACTTCAGCACAGTATATGCTCCATAAATCATTCAAAATATGATAGGTAGTGTGAGATTACTTGAGGGACGTGCTTCATTCTCTGTATTCCATCAGACCTTCACAAAAGATGAAATAGTTCTTAAACAAGGTAAAACCTACTAAGTAGTATAGACTCCCACTGCCACTCTGTGCAGACGTTGAGGCCCTCCTGATTTCTTCTCCCCCCCCCCACTCCACCCCGTAGAATAGGAATAGGCCCTAAATATGGTGACCGCTAGCTTGGTGGGCCTTTTCCAACCTCAAATGAGCATGACCATCCTCTTGCTTGGGTTGAGATAAAGATACTGGTTGGGGAGAGAGTTCAGTTGGAAGGACAAGTACCTGAGTTCAGATGCCCAGCACTCCCTTTAAAAGCCAGGTGCTACATCTTTAATCCCAACACTGGGGAGGCAGGGGTAGAAAGATCCCTGGAGACTTCTAGCCAGCCAGTCTAGCCAAATCGGTGAGCTCCAGCCTTAGTAAGATCGCCTGTCTCCAAACTTAAGGGCCAGGGACATCGCTCTGCTAGTTAGAGCACTCACTTGATGACAAGCCGGAAGACCTGAGGCAAAAGGAGAGACCTGAGTCCTGCAAGTTGACCTCTGACCTCCACCTGCAGGCCACGGAAGGAGTGCGCACATGCTCTCACACACAAGTAAATAAATGTGAAAGAAAAAAGACAAGAGTAAAAGTTGGAGAGCAACGGAGGAAGACACTTGACATGCACCTATACCCAAGAATACATCCACACCCATGTGCAAGTACAGCAGCAACTCCAGGTTAAACGTGAACTCATTCAATGAAGTTCATTGATGTTGAGGTTAGAAAGTATTCTGGTGTTTTTGTTTTTGTTTAAATCTTCTTCTGATACCATCTCCTTGCTCAGGGTGCCCTTGCTTTCTTAAGTCACGTTGTGATGTATTCTTTACCATTCAAGTCTCCATTCCCAGTCTCTTCTGCCCATGAACGGGCACGTCCTTGCCAATAAGATTAGCTAAAATCTCATCATTTCCTTTTTCTGTGTTTAAATCTCAAAGATTTCTCCATGCTTGGTACACCGTGCATGTCCTTCCTTTTCGGTTATGCCTCAGACATATAAAAATTAGCATATCCTTCTCAATGTCCATGTGCTTTTTTAAGATACAGGAAAAATGCTCCAAGACAACTTCTTTTTTTTGCCCAAGGATTAGTGAGATTCCTTTTCAGCAGTGATTTCAAATACACACACACACACACACACACACACACACACATATATATATATAATTTTTAAATCATGCTTTCCTATTTTAACTAATAATACATACTTATCCTGAATATAGAAAGTCTGAAAAGCATGTCATAGAAAGGAAAAGTGGGCATAATTATATCATTTATAGATGTAATGTGGGGCGATTCTTTCATCGCTGTTTATATGTGTGTGTTCTATATATTGTGATTGTGTTATATAATAACATGTAACTTACTATTTTGAGTCTATGTTTTTTTATTGTGGCCTGTCTTTTTTTATAAGATCATAAATAAAACATTAAGACCTAATAATATTTTTATATAAGTACCTGTTTTTTTTTCTCCCTGTTACTAGATATTTCACTTATAATCATTTTAATATCATAAATAAGGCCACAGCATATATTTTGTAAGTGTGTGGCTCTTTTGCTATAATAGTTCTTTAGAATATATTGTCCCAAGCAAAATTACTGGATTTAAAGTTATACTATTAGTCTGGACTTTTCTTGGTTATGAATGAAAGAATTCTAACATGAGAGAAAAAATGGCGGGGGGAGGGTCACTAACAGAGACAATCCCTTGGTATTACAGGGTCTGGGATTAAGAAGATGGGATCAGAGACCAGGATTTAGATTTCTTTTTTTATGTCTCTACAATGGGAATAACAGCATTTATCTTAGAGATAAACAAAAACTAAGCGTATACAAAGTGCAAATGCCCCTCACCTCGTTTTGCAGTCAAGGCTTCATTAATGAGCTCGCTTTGCCTGGCAGGTGAGCCTTGGGAGCAATCGTTCTTCCAGGCCTAGCTCCCATACTGCCCTGCTGGCGCCTTCAGGGTTAGTTTTGGAAGTCTCCCTGTGCCAGGGTGCACCCAGCACCCCCTCTTTGTCCCCACTACTGCTCAGCCTAGCCGTCTCCCCACGGCCCTGGAGAGGCCCACGGGGAAGACAAAACAGTTTCTGGTGGAGAAGCGGCTGAGGTAAGAGAGTCGGTCCTGGGCTGAGCATCCCTTTCCTGCTCCTAGGTCGTCAGCCACATGAGGCCCCTCAGCCTGCCATGGCCTGTGCCTCCCCCATGGTACCCAGGTCGTGCTTTTCCAGCCTACCCACTGTGCTGCATCTGTCCTGAGCCAGGGTTGGGGGTGGGGTCTCGCATCCCAGAGGCCCCTGCCCGCTCCTTGACTCAAGTGCAGCCTGGGCTGCACTGCAAAAATGTAGAGTTTTGACTCAGTTAGAGGGTTTTTTGTTGTTCTTGTTGTTGTTGTTGTTTTGTTTGTTTGTTTTTGTTTTTTGCCATATCCAAGGAGAGTCGAAGCCTGCCTGGTCACAGAAAGAGAGAGGATGCATCATAATTTAAGGAAATTGTTTAACTGCCTCATGGGACATATGATGAACTGCGGGAGGGAGGGCCAAAGGAAACCACTGGTGTGGCCTTGGGAGCTGAGGCTGGGGCCCAGGCTGTGAGCTCACCAGGTGCACGGCATGGAGAGGGTCCTAACAGTGTCGGTCGCCCCCCCAGATGGAGATCGTCTATACCAGAGAACATTTTCTGGCCCTTTGGGCAGGGATTATTTTCATTGTGAAAGTGTTCAAGTTCAGAGCCTGCCTCCTCCACCCTTCCTTGAATGGAAATTGCGTTTCTAGTTTATGTTCGGGCTGCGCACTGTTTCCACTTCCTCTTCCCTCCTGGGTCCTGGAAGAAAGTGAGACATGAGCTCATGAATCAAAGACAAGTTAGCACGAGGAGGGCTCTGCCACTGACATGTCTCTTTTTCAGATTTCAGTGGGTGGGGCTCCTGGCATCCCTGCTCAGTAACCAAGGACTGGCATCCCCCTTTGCCCACACTGAAGCATTCTGTGATCTGTACCTGTAGGTGATCCTAGGTAAAATTACTGCTGTAGTTCACTTCTCTGCCCTTCCAGATTCCCTTTTTAGAATATGCCTTCCACTTTAGCCCTGGTCCTTCCTATAAGATGCCAGACCTTTTCAACTCGATTCGGCCCCTCCTGAACTTTTGAATAGTGGCGCTCAGATGCAGACCTATAGGCAATCTAGAGCCACAGTATATGCTCACCTGACTGTATTAGGTTAGGGTTGCCCTTCCATAGAAAGAGCAGCTCTTTATGCTGAGAATGAGTGTCTTCATAGCTTTATGTATCTCGAACTGTCCATTCTATTATGAAATGGTGGTCATTGTCATTATTGTCAGTTGATGTTCTTTCTTAAAAGGGGGGGGGGAAGTCTAGCAATCCTGTATGGGTCCCCCACATCTTTCAGACTTGATTTGTGAGATCAAAAAGGCGTAAGCACAGTGGTCCCGTTCACCATCTGGTTCATCTGTAGACAGAAGAGCCTTTCTGTACCTCCTCAATTCCTTAGTTTAAATCACAGATTCCTAAAGTGGGGTCACATAACTGAATTGGGGGGGGTCCCCAGAAACCTTGACAACAGTGAAAAGTTTCTGAGCACACAGCCACACAAAAATTAATTCAAAATCAAACATGTAGTAAATCCAAGGCGTTTCTGGTAGCACTCACCAGGGTCCCATCAAGGGACTTCATTGCAGCCTTGGTTCTGAACACACAGCCTGCAAGGCTTGCCCTGTGAGTACTACATCAGACAGAACCAATGGAGATCTCCTGAAACACTTCACCTCAGAGTCAAGAATGCCGTGTGTTGTGAGTTGCAGTGTTTTTACTGTACACAAGCACAGTCTTCTGCTCTTATAGAAATACGATGGTTTAACTGCAGGAAACAATGATTTTTTTTAAAAAAAAAAATATTTTCCTACTATCATGACCCTAAAAGATAGTTCTGCTATTCTGAACTAAGTATTTACAAAGCAGCATTCTCAGGATTGATAATTATAAAATCAAATATCAGTAAACTTGAAAACCCATTGGAGAGGATCTATATCAGGGCAGTATCAATATTCAGCCAAGATTTAATTCTTCATGTAAAAATAAGTATACCATCTCATTAGTATGGAAATGTGCTTCCATCTTTAATAAATGGTAAAATTATTTGTATAGCCAATAATTGTTTTTAAATTATTAAATTACCAGTCGATGGTTGCTTTGTATGCCTATTAGCTATACCTAGAGTCAAGTAAAAATTTCTCAGGCAAAAAGGAATCATGAGCAGTAAAAGAAACTCACGAAGCCCTGGTCTAAATTAGAGTAGTGCAATTGTAGCTATCCTAACTTCTGGCATACAGCACTGTATGGTGATTTTTTTTTTTAATCCTGTACCAAGGATTGTACCCAGAGTCTCAAGCTTGCTAGGCAAGGGCTCTACCACTAAATTATATCCTCAGCTTTGAAAGGTAAATTTTAATGGACTACTGCTTGTAGTGAAACAGAAATCCTGCTTTAAATAAACCAGAGTCTTTTGGTCTTTCAGTTAGCAGATCAACAGAATAGCTAACTGAAAATGTGCTTTTCCTTAAAAGGAATAGCTAGGTAATGTGAGTAAGCAGCCTTCAGTGGAGCAGCATGGGAACTAATTTGGTACCGTCTTAAATTGAACCTCATTGGTTAATATTGAATACTCTCCTAGTGTGTGGTACTAATTTAAATCACTTTCAGGTCATACAATAACTTTCAACTAATAATGAATAGATGAAGTGGTGACTATTGACTATTGCATGGCTTCTACCCATGCCAATATGGAGACCACACGTATATACTTCCTCTTTGGATGCTACGATAAAATTTTGCTTAAAATTATTGCTTCTACCTCTAGGGTAGGAGCTACAATGGTTTTAAATTTTGAAACAAGTGTCCTAGGACTATTAAATAAGAGTCCACCCAAACTTGCATGTCTATTAATGCCCTACTCATAAAAATAAATAGCACATTCATATATGTTCGCTCCTGGTCTTTCCAAGATTGTGTTCATGAGGTGGACTGGAAAGACATCGATCTCCATTCCTCCTTTACAGAGAAGCTATTTAAGTGACTTGCCAAAGTTCTGACCATAGGCCATGAGTCTACCTCCTGCCTCTGCCCACTGCTACTGTTCCTCATTCTGTGAGGGCTTCTATGAGACCAGTCTCAGAGCCTTGAGCCAGAAGAGGAAGGGTGGAGGGGAAACCAGCCTCTGCTGCCATATACCTAAGACTCTAACTCAGGGGAAGAATAAATGACGTGGCTTTCAGACAGGCTTCCCCCCCCCCCCAGCCTCAGCAAACACAGGTGGGGAGAATTGGAGGGAAATGAAAGAGCTGCTACTGGTCATTCTCAGACTTGGCTTGCAAAGTGGAATCACCTGGAAAGTTTTGGGGAAAAAAACCTTGATGCCCAGTTTCATTGAGACTGACTAATTGGAATCTCAGAAGGTAGGAGCAGGAGCAGGAATTTTGAAAGTTTTCCTGGGCTTTACAGGAGCAGTGACATTTGACAGTGTGTGCAGAGCTTCTCAGACTTCGGGGTGCATACCTGATCCCTTGTGAGTGTGTTGCAGCTGGAGTTCTGGTTCTGTAGGTTGTATGAGACCCGCTACCTCCTAAAGTCAGAAAAAAAAAAAAAGAAAGAAAAAAACACTGGGTGCTGTGTGGTTAGAAAATGCGTAACAAAGAAGGGGGAGTTTGGGTGGGTCTCAAAGGGCACCTGAGCTCTAACGCACATGTGTAGGAAGAGGGGTTCTAGACTAGGAGGTGGTTCAGTCAGAGTCCTGGGGGTGGGGGCATGTGAGGAGGGGTTCCTGGGACAATGGCTGGTCCAGCATAAATAAGGTGATCCGATCTACCCGATTTAGCACTTGGCAGTGAAGAGCCTATTGTGTGGGGTGCAGATGTGTTCTTTCCTCTTCAAGATCCTGGTGTTCAGGGGTGGGTGTTTCAGTTCTGTTTGGGACACACGATGCTAAAGCACTTGGCAGGGCTTCAGCACATGGCTGCAGCTTTGCTTCTGCTATCCCGCCGGCCTGATGCATGCTGGGCCTGGTTAAGCCTATCACCTCCTAGAGGGGATCCTCCTGTTTAAATAAGATCTCAAGGGACTTGCCCACCCCAGTTAAAGGGCTGCATCCTCTTTCTCTTCCTTCCCTCCTCCCACACACTCCTCCCTGCTGGAGCCTTCCCTTGGGAGCTTGTCACCATGAACTCTATGTTTTAGCTTGTGTGTATTTACCTCGTTGTCTTATTGCCCGTCTCCTCCATTAAATGCAACTCCAGTTTATTGGTGAGAGAGAATCTTGCTGGTGATGGTCGCTGCTTTCCCCAGTGCCTAGAACAATCTGGATGCTCTGTCCCTGTTTGTTGAATGAATGAATGAAAGAATGAATGAATGAATGAATGAATGAATGAATGAATGAATGAATGAATAAATGAAGGCATATATATAGTTGGTGGCAGCACAAGTAAATTCAACACTCATGGGCAGGAGAAACCAAGAGAATCCGTTTTGCAACTGTTCCATCAAAGAAGAGGAAATTAAGACAGGATTTGGTCATTAGGGAGGAACATTTGAAATAGCCAGTGCATAAAAATAAATTGCCCTCCCCACGGGCTGGAGATTTGCTTCTAGATGTTCTATGTTGGAAGCCCAATGTGTGACCGAAGAGCGTCACTATTTAAATTACTTCAAGAAAGCCTCATAAACCCCATCAGTGATTGGTATTAACATATTTTAAAATATAATTATGTCTCAAAAGAAGAGAAAAGGTAAAGGCCTTCATGCAACAGATTATAGTCAAATGAGACCTTGGGGAGGGAAAATGGAGAGGGAGGGGAATTAACTGATGACTGAGGAAGTCGCCGCCATGCTTGACTCCAGAAAATCGCACGTCACCCATTCCTGCCTCTGCTTGGACATCTCCAGCTCACCCCTCACAAAACTGACTGCTCGCTCATGAACTGCTCCAAATACTGGCAAGACCTTCCCTTGAACCGTTAGCAATACCCTTCGGTGGGGCCAGGGCCATTCAACCTACCCCACTGGAGGACCTCACTCTTAGGACAACGTTTTTCAAACTTTGAAGATCTCCTTTTCCTCTCGGCCAGCCTACCTTAGCCACAACATGGACTCAGGCATCCAGACTCTTCTTGACGCCGAGGCACCTTGGTTCCTCGGTTTTTTTTTTCAGCCTAGAAACGTCTCCACTTCGTTTTTCTGCACAAGTTTGCTGTCAAAGTCAGATAGATGCCCTTTTAACATTTCAGATGGCTCTGAAATGCCAGGTCGTCTGTACCTCTCTTTAACTGTGTCCCCAAGAAAGGCAGCCTGGATGGTGTGGGGTCTTCCACTCCCTCTTTTTAGACCCTATATTTCTGTGGTAATGCAGCCTAAGATGTAGGAATACCATTGTCAACCACATGTCATTTTAAACACAGTGTTCTTTGTAACTGCTGTCATCTTTCAGACGACAGTTTGTGCCCCCAGAGACGAAGATATGATGACAAAAATTGAATGTACATTGTGTGACAGTAGGAGATATATGAAGATAGTTTCAAATTGAACGCAGTATTTACGTACTACTGTAGCACCAACATACAATGGCGATACAAGCTTTGGAGACAGCCTCAAGTGAAAAAAAAAGCAATTGCTGCTGCTCTTGTTTATTAAAGGAAATAATAATACTCATTCTAGGATTGCCATTAGAAGGATATGAAGCTATATAAGCAATAACTGATATACAATGAATGGGTGATTTAAACAGATGCCTAGAAGATAATAATCATCATTACCATCCCATGAACATGCTATTGGGCAATTGCATTGCCCACGTTGGGACCTCAAGACATGATCATATACTTTGGGAAGGACCTAAAAATCCTACAGAAAAGCAAGTGTGGAGTTACAGGTGAGCCTAGAGTGCACAGTCCCGAGAGAATCCCAGGAACTGGACACTGGGGGCCCTGTCACTCTGTTGCCATTTAGGTCATGGTGGCAAACAGTTTCCAAGCTTGTCTGTTCATCTCCCCTACCACCATGAGCCACATGTCAACCCATCCCACATCATGTCACCAGAGCTCGCCTAGGTACCGTTGTATAACCAGAACCACACACCTTGCCACACAACAGCAACGGTGTTGGAGGGGACGCTTGCTACAGTAGATCCACACCTGGTTCAGTCCCTTACCATCTCTTTCCTCTCCTTGGCGGGCCCAGAAGCCAGCTGTCCATGGCCTCCTTCCACAGAGTCTCGGGGGACAAAGGCCTCTCACAGGCCTCCCACCCCCATGCAGCCGTATCCAAGGCTACCATGGGGAACTTGGGAACAGGCCTTGGCTCTCGGACAGAGGATGCCCTGCGTGCCGGCGCACAGAGCTGGCGCTCATTCCACCGGGCCATGAAAGGACAGCCTGTTCTGTGACCGAACATGAGCGGATTGAGAGGCGTCCATCCACAGCGCCCTCACTGGAGCACCGTCCAACTTCATTGTGCAAGGCCTCCCTAGTGCTAAAGATCGGGGTAAATGAAGACCCTGTCTGGGTAAACAGGCAGACACTGACCGGTCAAAGAGGAGAAGAGAATAGGGCTGTGTCTTTGCAGGGCGCCTCTTCCGCCATCATCTGTGACTCAATGAACCAGTTGCTTCATATCATCAACTTGGTGGGGGGGGGGGGTTGAGGGGGGGGGAGTACATACTTCAATTATCTGATTATTCCAACTGATCCTCATAGTTCCAGCCAGTGTTGTGATGTGTGAAAAGAGCAAGCAATGCTCAAAGGGTAGGAGTTCACTCGGGGAAAACGTAGGAGATAGGATTATTTGTTTCCCCGTGTGCCGTTTCCTATCTTTAGAGGCTCCAGACACGCCACACACACACCCCTACACGCCCGGTGATGATAGATGGTATAGGTATATTTCTATTCTTTGTGAGCTGCTCAGCCTGCTGGCTTCACAGGAAAGACCAAGGCTGTCACCTGACCCACTGTGAGCACCCCATGGTCTGGGTCGCAGTGGCTGAAACACGGGTTGCCGTGAGATGCTACAATGCCTTCTTCTGAGAGGTGGACCAGTATGCCCAGCCACCAGCGGCTCTGGCTGTCTGTAGGGTTGTTTTGCGTTATTTAGTGCAGATATTTACTTTCTACAGCCACATAATAAACTCATCAGTATCAGAGACTCTAAAGCCTGATTGTCTGATGACACTCAGTATGTCACCTCCCCTCTCCCGGAACCCTCGCTTCCTTATCTGTAGAAAGATAAAAATGGAGACAGCCTCCAAGTACCGATGCTTGTACCAAATATCTACGCTCAGGAAGGGGGTGCTTGGGGTTCTTGGTGTCGTTATCTTTCACACACTTAGAAGTCGGAACTAAATGGGTGTGCTGTGTGCATGGTATGTGCAGCAGCTCTGTGGTCTGTGTTTTGATGGGTCTGTGGAGCGTGTGCCTTTGAAAGCATTAAAAAAATAATCTCAGCTGTCAAACTCTCGCCTGGTTGGGGCCCTGGAAGCTGCCATCCTTATCAATGGCTCCTTCACATCCACCCCACTGTGCATTCCTCAGGAGGTGCCATGGCCAGTGGGAGGCGCGCAGTTGTTTGTCATTTTTCAGATTAAAATGTCATTGGGTGCGCCTCTGAAACTGCTGACATGTTTCACATGTCCACTTCTGATAGTCTGCTCTTAACCAAACAAGCTAGACCACGGGGTCCTCGAACTGCCCCGGGGTCCCTGTGGTGAATAATGGAACATTGTGTCTGCCCTCAGTCACATTTCGGCAGGGCTCCACGCTTGACAAGAGATAGCCAATGTAACCTTTACAGTTGCATTTGTAAGAAAAAGGCAGTCGAAACGAGCCCTGTACTCTGTTTCCTTCTACGGTATATCCCTGTGTCCATGATATACATGTCCGGTATATCACTTGTGTCTGCCCGAATGAGCTCTGAACTTCATAAAGATGAGAGAAAGAACAAAAAAATGGAAGGAGCTAAGCAAAGTGATATTAACTACTTAAAGGCTTTACATTTAAAAAAAAAAAAAACAACTACATTTTAAAGTATTTTTGTTTTGGATGAAACAGTAAATAAACAGGACTGTGACTCCAAGGTGGGCTGGGGTAATTTGGGAGGGTATGGTGGACAACTTCCTGGGAACTTGTAAATATTAATTCTATATTAATGACAATTATCTGAGGTTTCTGAATCTACCAACAATGTTCAGGGGTATTCATTGAACAATCATTTTGAAAAACTTGACATCTATAAAATATGATTTAACAGGGACCAATTTTCACAGGATTGTAGAAACCAGGATTTTATTAAGGGTTAATTGATGACAAAGACATCTTACAGGGTAGCTGACCCTGTGAAAAATTCTGGAGTCAGGAGGCCGACAGCTTCTCTCAGTCACATGTAGTGACGGGATGCTGACCACCTCAGAGCAGCCTATGCCCGGGGTGGAGGTGAGGGGATGGGGGTTGCCACGTGATTGAGCTAAACAGTAGCTTCGCCAACTCTGCCTTTGAGTTCTGTTTTGAGTTACAGAGTCACAGAAACTATAGCTTCACCTACTTCTGCTTACAACCCTGAAATATCTGAAAACAGCATTCTGCAGTTAGAATTCTCTTTTTCCAGGCTAAATTTCCCAGAGTCCTTAACCCTTCTCCACATGAGGCGGGCTCTTAGTCAGTGGTTCTCAACTTGTGGATTGTGACCCCCTTTGGGGGGGTCAAATGACCCTTTCATAGGGGTCGCATATCAGATATTTACATTACGATTCACAACAGTAGCAAAACTACAGTTATGAAGTAGCAGTGAAAATAATTTTATGCTGGGGGAGGGGGGTCACCACCACATGAGGAACTGTACTAAAGGGTCACAGCATTAGGAAGGTGGAGAACCACTGCTGTAAGTAATCTGGTCTCTCCTTGATCCTTCAGTACCATAAAGAGCTTCCTCAAGCTGTGGAAGGGATTGTGCAGGCATTTCATGCATAGCACACACAGGCAAACACACGCATGCACGTGGCAGATCCTGTGTTTCTATTAGTGTGGAATGGCTGTGTTAGCTGTGTCAGCCTCCTCGCCCAGCTGCTCACTCACGCTGATGAGCAGCAGATAATTGCCCTGGTCTTTGTCTCTGGCTTCCTGGCAATGCTGGAAAGAGAGGTCATGGCCCTTCCATTAGGACGATGAGAACCTGCGTTTCCTCGAGTCCTCTTCTGTGTCACAGAAAGCAGGCAGATGTTGCTTCATTTAACCTAGGAGGTCGACACAGCTGTCCCCATTTTCCACCTGAGGACACAGAGGATGAGTGAGGCACTTGCCTACGGTTTTACGGAATCAGCCAGGGCCAACTTGGAGCAGAGCCAGGCTCATCAGATGGCAGAGCTCGGGCTCATTTTTGTGTCACATTACGACGCCCGGATCAAAGGTGCTGTCTGGTCAACATATTGGAAATCTATGACCCAAAACAACATATCCTAGTGTTCTGGTTCAAACAAGATTTTCCTTTCTTCTTCAAAAGGAGGCTCTGAATTTTCACTGATATTAATATCCTATCGACTGGGGAAATGGTTCTCTGGGTAAAATGCTCGGTATACAGGCATGAAGTCCTAAGTTCAGATCTCCAGCAACCCACGTATAATCTGGGCACGGCGGCTTGAATCTGTAATGCAGTGCTGGGGAAATAGAGAAGGTGGGCCCCCTGGGGGCTTTCTGGACAGCCAGTCCAGCCAAATCAGCCAGATCAGGTTTATCGAGAAACCCTATCTCAAAAAATAAGGTAGACGGGCTGGAGAGATGTCTCAGTAGTTAAGAGCACTTGTTGCTCTTGCAGATGACCAAGTTCGGTTCCCAGCATCCACATGGTGGCTCGCAACCATCCATAACTCCAGTTCCAAGGGATCCAATACTCTCTTCTGACCTCCATGGACACTGTGCATGCATGTAGTGCACATACATACATGTGTGCAAAGCACTCATACACATAAAATTAAACAAATATTTATAAAAGGTAGAGAGCGATAGAGGAAGACATCCAGTGTTGACCTCTGACCTCCACGCACATGCGTGGGCAAGACGCCTGCATATATGAATATGATCGCGTACAGCTCCACACCCTTACACAAAATATCAATATTATACCCTGAAGTTCTCATCCCCATAGCTTTCCCACACTTTGGCTTGAGATTTGTCATTTCTGTTTTGTATTTCCAGAAGAAGACAGAATTGG